CAAAGAAAAAGTTGGGGACTCAAACTTTTATGACAATTATATAATTTGGTGATGACAAGTGATTAGCTCAAGATGAGACAAAAGTTGAGTCAGTGGTGTTGACAATTGGCAGGTAGCACGATGTGTGACAATGCTAATCTACAGCTTTCAGATCAAGTTGCTGCTACAGATTTTAATAATGCTTTAGACATCTCTGTCTTTGTGACTAATGATGTCACTTATAGTTAAACAATGCCACTTGAAAAGTCCTTACAGCCAAGCTCTTACCTTTTTTCTCTTTTTTTTGACATTTCCAGGACAAATTAAATTGCATATAAACTTCCAAATCTGCTGGTTTACCTCCAGGATTGTCATAAAATGCGCACACTCGCATACAAACACCACACCACATGTTTTTGGCTTGTAAAGCACTTTTGGGTTTTTTTTTCTTTTTTGTAATGAGCCATTAACATTTTTTTAAATAGTGTGTTGGCAGTAATAACTGTGAGATGATGCCCTGTTTGTGTACACACTCACAACCCTCTCCGCCCCTCCCTTTTCCTCTCTCCCTTCGCCTCCTTTCTGTTGCCATGGCTACTACAGGAGGTTGCCAAGTGATGAGGATGGCTCGGTGTCGAGTAACGGCTCCGGGAAGCTGAACACCAGCAAGAGCTCCTCGGCCCGGAGGACTGCGACTGGCAGCAGCAGCAAGAACGGCAAGGAGGAGCTACACAAGAGGGGCACCAACGGTGAGGAGGAGGAAGGAAAGAGAGATGAGGAGGGAGGGGGTTAAGAAGGTAGACAAAGAATGAGATGATTCCAGTGAAGGAGGAAGAAGGGAAGGTATTAGGAGAAGGACACATACAAAGACAGATGGATGGATAGATGGAAAAAAAATCTGCCTCTCCTTATGTTTGTGCCCATCACAAAGTCTTTCATTGCTAATAAACAAGTGCAGATCACCAAAAAACTGACACACACATCCACACACACACTCATGCAATGATGTTTTTACCCAAGGATAATTATTGTGAGCTAATGAAGCGCAAACACACTCATGCTTACAATGAGTCAGCCTGCTACAGCATCATGTAACTATCAGGGACGACACATGTGCTCATCAGATATTGTCACATGTCCGCTCATATGCAAACTGGGATATTAGATCAGTTAGAAGACACATGAAGCATTCACGTGTTGCTATTTAGGCTGTTTTCAATCAGCTTACCTCACTCCAAATGCTGCATGGAGATAAAAGCGAGTACATATTCCTTAAGCATTGCATCAACTTACTTTGGAGCAGAACCACAGAGAAAGACAAGGAAGTGGGTGGAAACAGTTCTGACAGCGTAGTGTCACCTTAGGTGTTATTCAAGTCTGTACAACCCACTGCATATGTTCTATGCTGTAGGAAAGTTACTTGTTAATCCTTGATGCCTGTCCTCTCCATCATTTTAAATGAGCTTTTAGATATTGCACTCACACAGAGTGCAATATTAAAAACACACACAGGGTATGACTACTTAAATGCCAAGTTATAATTAAATTACTATTAAAATGAGAAGGTTACTTGTAATCAAGAGTCACATTTCTTTTTTTTTTTTGTTAAAGAACGGACCTGATGTAGTCTAAAATCTGCGATCACATGCTGTAGCTTAGTTTATTGATATGTTATCGACACTTGATTATAAGGACATCTTGATTTCCATGTTGTGTTCTACCTTTTTATGCCGATTCTGATATTTTTCACACTACTACATCAATTAGACAGACTGTTGATGACTAATTATGAAGAATGCATTATTAATTTAAAAGCATTTGTTAAAAAAGGTCGTAAAAGGAGGAGACTGGTCCATGATGATGACAAACAGGTACTTCACATTATTAAGTTCACTTTAAGCGGCTTGAGGCAACTGTTGTTGTGGTTTGGTGCTTCATGAGAAAAATTGAATTGAACTGAGTTGAATTCAAGAAAAAAAATTAAGTAACTTTAAAGTTGATATAACAGCAAAACAACACAAAACAAAATTGGCATAGGTGTGCTTGTGTTGGGAGTAAACATGGTATATGTGAGCAAAACTATACACAAAGCCCCTGTTATTCTGTGGGAGCTGTGCTAAATCTGTCATACACACACATTTACATTTGGGTACATCTATGAAAAATGAATCCAGCCACTATGATGTCCTCCAATAGCTATTTCACTTCCCCTTTTCGGACCAAGAAGCTACTAACATTTTTCTCTATAATCACTCTTTGGCTAAATCTATCCAGACTCTTGAGTCAGTGTCAGTTAGCACTCAAGACAAATCTAGAAATGACAAAAACTGAGGCGTCATAAAAAAAAATGAGCTTACCACCTTCTGTGGTCTTATCGTCATTGCCCGAGGCTACAATAGCCGGTTCTAGCATGATGGCGCAACTTCAAGTGAACTCCTGGTATGAGTAATGGTGGTGCCCAGTTTAAACAGAACATGTGAAATGAAAAAAGACTGTCTCTTTTCTACTGCATCATCTTTGAGCCTTTTGAAATGTTCTCCATCATTAATTCAACAAAGTAGCTGGCAGGTACTGTGTCATTTTAAAGAAGAAGGTTCTTGTTTTCAGCCATATGACAATCTCCGCTGCTGAAGTAAATGGCAGTTCTCCTAATAAAGCTTTAAAAAGCACGTTAGCAGGTTGTGACAATAAAAAACGTTGTAGTTTTCCATAGATAGGCTCACTTCTGGTAATTTGGACCACTCCACTGCAATGGACTTCTCAACTGTGTTTGCCCTTTTAGTCCCTTTTTAGCATTTTAATGGAATTATCTATTTTATTAGTCTTTTACTTAATATTAATTAATAAATATATATGTGCTGTAGCATATTGCTTATGGATGCATCTTGATGAAGCTAAATAGCCTTGTATGGTTTAGGACTTCACCCGTCCATCCAACTAGTTTCACTTATGGTCCAAAAACGTCAACATGGGACAAGCAAGGCAAATGTTGAAGTCTCCAAATGCAGTGTAAACATTGCACGGCAGACTCGATGATGTTTCCATGAACATGCTTTTCCGCATCTTTTTACTAAGCTGCTGCAAACACACTCGGTCGGTTGCAACTTTCCAGCTCAAAGCCCGACTGCGTCAACAACAACACAACCCTCAGGAGCCAGTGCAGATTTTCAAACCGACGAGGCGTGATTGCAGATGCCGCTGCAGGTGCGTCCATCGCTCCTGCAGCGGCATTGCAGACCACGCCCCGCCACATGTAGATTTCATAACTAATGGTTGCCATCTTGGTAGTCAGTCCATCTTTTATATACAGGCTGTGGGTTGAACCTGCTAAGCTAACTTCGAGGCTCTGGTGCAAAATGTCCAAAGATGCAAGCATGAATGCTTTTGTCAGCCCTTGCACTATTTGGCAACCTGTAAACCTAAAACATATTTATAAAATATTATATAAATTACATAGTTTGCAGAATGATTTACATCATTCACTGTCTGCACAGATTCCTCACTAGCGTTAAATTAGCAGACATCACAGGATTAAAAACAAACATTTTGTCAGACATGAGATAATAGACTGTGCCTTTTGGTCTACATCACCTGTAATCAGTAGTGGCAGTGAATGCGCTGCATCTTTGAACTGTTCAACAGATTATCAGCCCAGTTTTTTTTCCAGCGCTGCAGTTTCCGAATTGATTGCCTAAACATTGCTCTGATCACTGGTAACCCTGCCACGTTGGTGCTGTTCAGTGGCATTCTGGGACACTGTGATTTTCAGATCTCTTTTGCATCAGCAAACTAATGTTCACAGCAATTTAAGTGATTAATAGTGTTTATGCGAGCGAATGAATGCTTACCCAGAGGAGACAAGAAGAAGATGAGTAATTGTTTCATTTTCTCACTAGAGATTGCAGAGAGCTGGAGATGGACAGGAATGGAGTTTTCAGAAAAAAAAAAAAGGGAGAGAATAATGCCGGTATACTGCAGAAATGATAAAAACACCTGCTTGCTGCAGTGGGTCACACATCTTCAGGAAGTTTTACAAAGTTTGTCAAAGCATTAGCTAAAGAGCATTTGTACTACACCTATAATTTTACTTGCGAGAGTCAGTGAAAGTGAAATGAAAATGCAAACACTCCAGAACTACATCTCAGACTCCACAGACCTCAGTTAGCATGTTAAAAGTTAAAGTTCCTTGCAAAAAAACTAGAAAAAGACTGAACAAGTGTGTCTCGTTTCGAAGCATTATCAGGAAAAGCATCTTCTTTCTCAACAGAACAACACAGCTTAGAATTGCAAAGTTGATTTTGAACAAACCAAAAGACTTCTGGATGGATGGAACATAATGTCCTTTGTACAGATGGGATACAAAGTGGAGATGTTTGGCCATAATGCACAGTGCCACAGCGTTCCAGCACAAATGCCTCATAGCTACTGTTGAGCACAGTGGTGGAGGGCTGATGATTTGGGCTTGTTGAGCTGTAGTTGAGTCGACTGTGAACTCCTCTGTATACTCAAGATAAAGCTTAGTCCAGATTGTGTCGTGTAACAAAACAATGACCCCAAGTGCAGCAGCAACTCTGCAACAGAATGGCCAAAAAAACAATTGAGGTGTTCCAGTGGTTCAGTCAAGAGAGCTGTGATGAACAAATACATGCAAACTTCAATAAACTGAAGCAATGTTGTAAAGAAGTGTGAGCCAAAATGAATCTGTCAGATGTGAGACATGTAGAAGATTAGTTTCTTATATATGAAGATACAGCTTTCCATATAAGTACGGCCTGGTTCCATTGTTCAGGTGAATCCTTCAGGGCAGTGCCATCAGTGCCTTGCGCTGACTGAATTCCTTCTTACAAGAGTAAACCACTCAAAAGACAGTGGGACTTCTTTTATTTAGCACACTAAACTTCCACAACAAGAGACTAAAAACAGTGTTTTCGTTTTTTTCATTTTAGAATGATTTTAGAGCAACTGTTCAAGAGAAACAGATGACATCTAACACGGATCTCAGTATAGCTAAATGAACTTTTTAATGTTCCTCAGATGCTCAGGGTTCAAATCCCAAAACTAATGGATAACATGATGGTGGTTTTATATGTAGTCTATGGATATACTAACTTTATTGTTCATCTGTTACATCATCTCCATAATAGTAACCAACATTGCTGCAAACATAAAGGAGTAAACAGCAAAAGTACCAGCAGATTGTTGACTGACTCATACTGTTTACCAGAAGACACACTGAGTAACGGGGGCTCTAAAATGTAGTTTATTCAAATTATGCAACATGTAGTTTCTACATTCAGTCAATGAAGCCACATGTTTTAAAATGAATTTAACCACAAAAGAAGAAGAGAAGAAGGACCCTTCTTTGTTGATCTGAAATGTCTAGCTGTGAGGAAGCAAAACAACAACACAGCCATCATGCTGCCGCTAAATTAAATGAAGGAACAGACACAACAGGAAAGTAGAAATTTTTCCTAATAAGGAAAAATAAAAAAGCAAAGCCTACAAGTTTGTAATGTTCCCATTTACGTAGACCAAACCAGTCAGTGCTGTATGAAAATAAATATGATTGAGTTGCTACTTTTTCTTCATAGTGAAAGTTATTGTAAAATAATATAATATAAAATAGCCTTTGTTAGTCCCAGAGTTGAGAATTTCACCCTCGTTTTGGCCTCTTCTCTGAGTGCAGGAGTGCACATATGCAGCCAACCAGCCACCCACCCACAGCCACACATACACACACATACTCGTTTTCATGTCTTAGTGAGGATATCTCATTGATACAATGCTTTCCCTAGCCGCTTACCTTAACCCTAACCATCAAATATGAATGCCTAATCCTAACCCTCAGCCTAACCATAACCTAATTGTAACCCTGACACTAAAACCACGTTTTGAGCCTCAAAAATGTCTTCAAACTCAACTCGGGGACGGGCATTTTGTCCTCATAAGTGACTGTTGGTCCCCAAAAGTATAGCATGCCAATTTTTGGTCCTCACAAAGATGTCTAAACATGCACACACACACACACTCTCCATGGCACTCACCAGATGTAACAACCTTTGTGGCAGAAACCATGTACGTGTTCAATTCAAACACCAAGTACAGTGTTTGCCATTTGCTGTGAAATGGTTCAGGGTGCACGTTAGCTGCGACACATTGTTACCTGTGTCCATTCAGGTTCACAGCCCTCTGCTGCTTGTGATGCCACCTGTCCTGACCTGAGCTGTCACACTCTGATAGGCCGAACAGTTTCACCAGCGAATGAGAGCAGACCAAGCTGGTGCCGGGACGAATGTAACATCGTGGATTTGGAGCAGAGTTAATGGCATACTGTCGTAGCCCTACAAAGAAGCAGTCTGCCATATGATGTCAGTCAGTCAGTGAGTCACTGTGAAGCAACATAGCACTATCCATCTGCTGCTCGCTGCTGTAACATACAGTCACATAAATACTGAGATTGTGTTACTGTGCGAAGCAGAGGACCTGTCACATACAGCGGATGTTTTTCATGAGACAAAACTCAATTTTTATTGGATTTATTGTTTATTAAAGTTGTAGTTTCCATGGCAACAAGTAAATCTCACATTAGAGGATAAAAGCAATTATTTTGGAGTGGAAAACAGTGGAGGAAAGTACATGTGAGCAATGAGACAACGGAAGGTAGGAAAATGAAAAGCTGATAACCCATTAAATGGTAAATGGCCTGTATTTGTATAGCGCTTTTACTCAGTCCCTAAGAACCCCAAAGCGCTTTACACTACATTCAGTCATTCACACACACATTCACACACTGGTAATGGCAAGCTACATTGCTACATTGTAGCCACAGCTGCCCTGGGGCGCACTGACAGAGACATTACTGATCAAATTCATCTTATGGCTCCAAAAAAACCCAACATAGCACAAGCAAAATCATATAAATTAAATCCTATAGTGCTAATGTATTAGCTAACAATAGCTTGCTTCATTAGTAAGTTCAAAAACTCTGTGGGTGCAATGTAGACACACACACCAGCTTATTAGTGCTACATGACAGAGTAATAAATACAGAAATTTCCCTCACCAAAGCTGAAACACAAACTTCTTCCTTGATCTGTACGTCACAGTAAACTATAAGATTGCAAGTAGATGTGAGGCGTTTAAAACAAAAAACAGGCATATCATTCATTGGTTCAAAAATAGTCCACCCAAGCTTAATATAAAGCTTACAGTATGCGAGAAATGAAAAGTAGCTCCATTAGTAAACCTCTGTATCCATCTGTTAATGCTGATTTTTGATTTATTCTACCTTGAGAACTGAGCTGATCTACTCTTGCTTATTACCAAGTTGTGCGCTTTCTTGTCTTTCCAGATCCCTATGAAGACCATACAGGCTCTCTGCGTCTCATCACTATCAAGCCCATGACAGCCCAGCCAACCTACTCGTATCCCTCTTCCTCTTCTCACAGCCAAGATTCTGTGGTTGTCAATGGGGACGTGAGTTGGAAAACATAAACATTACACGCATGTCTTCAAAGCTTTCCCGGACTCGGAAGTGGTGACAGAATAGGGCAGAGTAAAAAGTAGGACACCATGAGTCACACAGACAAGTGCAGCATTTGGTAACCACGTTTCGTCTACCATTGTTTAAACGATTGATGATGTTGGACTGCATCCAAATTGAAATCAATCGACTCAGTTGATTGAACAAATATTAATGGGTGTTATTGAAGAAGTAGTTCATCAAGCTCTTTAGGTGCATCAACTCAGAAAGGGGCTTTTCCATTCTGTTAAACTACCCCTCCTCCACCATAGTAGTAGTAACATAACATCTCCTCTGGGACAAATTGTACTGTTACTGAATATAGCTGTTGTTGCTACAAACACTATTCCTCTGTCTCTCTCTAATCTCTCAGTCAGCCTATCACATCTCATTCTTATTCTGCCTCAACCTGCCTGCACCTTGCTGCAGCTCAAACAGCAACACACAGGCTCATGATAAATCCACCCTCAGTCTATTACCATAAGACTAGAAAACCCCATGATTAGAGTGTGTTTCATAGTCTGAATATCTGGATGTGAGTACTAAAAAGAAAGGCCAAAAAAGTAAAAATAACAATTGTGTGTATATATACATATTTATATATAAAAAATAATAATTTGATTACTTGAATTTGCAGGCTAACCATAGTGGGCTTAAACAGAAGTCCGACATTGAGCACTACAGGAACAAACTGCGCCAGAAGGCCCGGAGGAAAGGCTACGGAGAATTCTCGCTCTCCGAGACTGGAAGCCACGGTTATAGCCACCGTGACACGAGGCACAGCCGGCACGACAGCGCGGTGAAAGAGCCAATGACTGCAGAGGAAAAGAGGGCGTCCTTTGCAGGGTGTCACAAGAGGTATTGTAATATAAATATAATTAAATATGCATATTTTGGAATATAATTAAATGTTTGTCTTATCGCTGACATGATTTGCTGCAGAAAGTGAAATAAATCTCAATGACCAATCACAAAATATGTATTACGAAGATTAGACCTTATTATTATTACAGTTCTTACACATGAAATTTTTGTTTCATGCCATTTAAATAATGAATGTTCAAGTGTTAAACTACTACAATGATGAACAATAAAGGCTAAATACATTTTTTTTTTTCATCTGGAAATATAAACTTAATGTGGTGCTGTAGCTGTAAAGCATAGTTGCTAAGCAACACGTAACAAGTGAGTGAGTAGAGAGGGGTGAGATTAGGTCAGCATATTAATATTTCACAGGTCACACTGACAGAGTGTCGGTTTTGCTTGTTTTTGTCACTATGTTTAATACATTCACCCTGAGGACACTTCACAAATCCTTTGACATCAGACAAAGAAGCACTTTTATTGCCTTCTGAAACGTAAACTTCACAACGCAGAATCCAAACTGTGACAGTTTTCAAGAGATTGACTCAAAATACTAAAAAAATGACAGCATCAAGAAGCACCTGAGTGCTGATAGAAGGTAATTCCTACATCAAATTTGTTTTTGGTCAAAGTGATGAAATAAAATAAACATTATACATTAAACACTGAAACTATTACTATAACTCATTTAAACAATAAAAAGATGTGGATTTGTAAATTTGAGTAATTTGCATGACTCTACCAAAAACATTCAGATTTAGAAGAATTTGTCATTTTAAGAAAATCAAAAGAATACAAAAGAATTGTTTTGAATATGACAAAATATTTTTCATTAACTCCTCTCAGTGAATCTTACCAGAAAAACAAATGGCACTCAAATAGTTTAATTAAAATATATGGGTGAATTCCATAACTGCAAACATGCTGGAAAAAATATAACTTATTGACTTATGGAGGAGGGGAAAAAAAGCTTTTAAAACTTTTAAAATGTTAACTTTTTTTTCAATGCCAACATACCTGTACAGCAGTTTTTATTAGATTTAACTGGTGACTCTGTACATGCAGCTATTAATCTTATGTTGACCATCATGTCACAAAAGGGTTACCAAGACTGAAAAGAGTTGATCTTATTTACTTTAGTGAATTTATTTATCTTCATTTTAGGCCTTTTCCTTTTTCAGAGTATGTGTATCAGGTAAAAAAACATCCATACTGGCAAGCTAACATTTTTAGCTTAATAGCTATAACCATTAGCTTCTAGTAACTAACTAGCTCTTTACTAATAGTACGCTAAGTACTGGTATTTGAATACTGTTAGTAGAAGTAGACGACCTTATTGGGAGAGGGAGGCAGTTCCAGAGTTTAGGATTTGCAACTAACTGTGTACGAGTCAGTCAGGAAGGAGACATTAATTAAAGTTATTGATCAATGGATCTAAGCAAGAGGCAGACTTATGCTTCTCACATTTATTCATAGAAATCTTAATTTAAAAAAGCTGGCATTAACAATGTGTTTGACATGTATGGTCACACAGATGAGTCAAATTTAGGAAAAGAATAAAAAATAACACAGAAGTTGTTTAGCTGAGTTTTAAACATGATGCCAAGGTGCAAAGACGTGGTTCCAAGTATTGAGAAGCTTCATGTCCTAGTGATAGCAAATACAATAAAAAAAACAATGGGAACCAGAACGGAACCTTGAGGTACACCAGGCCATTTTAAGAGTATTTACAAATGCTGATTATGAAGGACCTCTTACTCAGATAAGAGGAGAGCAATACAGGGCAGTGTTACAAAGTCCTCATGATGGAAGATCAAGCTCTCATTACTCACTGCATCAAACTACTGTTATGGCCCGTCTAGGCGCGGCCAGACCACAACATAAAGGGTGATCCATCCCCGTCCAACCCCAAGCAGCACGTCACACAATTAATACTTTGTGGCAGTGATTTATTTTTACCATGAGTGAATTTAAAAACAGAGGAAGGGAGCGAATTATAACTTTGGGGTGAACCCAAGGCCAAAACAACAAACAAAAGGTAGCCTATCTCAGGAGTAAATAAAACTTACCTAGTCAAAAGAACTAAACCAAACGACAATTACTTTCCTCCCTACCTAACAAAAACAGGAGAAAACCAGTCAAACAAAAAGGCGGTCCACCCCTACATGCTCCTACATTAAACCAACATAGTTAAACAGTGA